TATCCATAAACATCTTTTTACCCCAATGGCACGGTCTGAGAAAAGTTCACCCCTGCATGACGAACCTGCTGACTGCGGTGGACAGATGGACAACCATCCATGATCGCAAGGGAATAATTGACGTCATTTACCTTGATTTCTCAAAAGCCTTTGATAAATTCAACTATATATGTCTTATCAATAAACTCAAACAATTAAGCATCAAATCACCTCTAATTGACTGGCCCGACCGTTGCTGCTACCTTGACGTGGTGGTTGAGCTTGCCTATCGTGATGAAGCAATCGAGCTATGCTGGCTGGAACAATCGTTCCTCGAGGTCCTACCATGACAGACAGGTCGGTTGAAGAGCGGTGAGACTAAAAGCAGTAAACCCAAGGTCCGAAGGCGAAGTCGTACCGCCGACTGTACAGAGGTGTGACGGCAGTAAGGTGTTTCCCTCAGACAACCAGCATGACAGCGATGCTGCCTTCCCACAAGGAGGGGTGGGGTTAGAAAAGGTCGACCCTAAAAATGCACACCTCACCTTATGCCACGGATTTCCGTCTCCGGCGGTAAGGACTTTTGAAGAACGGAGCTAACACAAAAACTACCCACGGAAAGGTCGTGTGTGACCGACCTCAAGCAGTTGTCCCTTGAGCACTGCGGTCACGCTTTCAGGTCATTAAGACCACTTCTAACCCAATTTCCTTTTCAGGTACTCCCAGAGGAACCCTTCCATGGTGTGGGCAACCGGGAAGTGATAACTGCCCTCATACCCCTAACAGCACTCAAGACCACTGTATTCATAATCAATCTCCTTCTTCAATTCATACTATTACTTCTACCTTGACTTTCAACACTAAACTTCCTGTTCCGGTTTCCTTCTCAAGAGTCTCCATGGCCAACGATTCTTGTGTGCGAAACGCTGTCCCAGGTCTACTTAAACCTCGCTCCAAACTACACATTGGAGCCTTCAACGTACGTATTTTAAGTCAAATCGGTCAACAGGCCTCCTTAGCTAAAACCCTAGAATCTCGTACCATTGATGTATGCTGTGTCTCCGAAACACGCATACAGGATTCTAGTGTGGTCATTCACTTGACCTCACCTCGCCAGAATGGACAGCCAACGAAATACACCCTCCGTGTATCTGGCGACCCGTTGGCTAGTTCTCGCAGACTTGCAGGTGTAGGCATAGCACTAAGTACAAGGGCAGAACAGGCACTACTAGAATGGATCCCCGTTAACAGTCGCCTGTGTGCTGTCCGGATAAATGGCTCTGTAAGAACTCGGAAGGATAGGGACACACGTCGTTGCCTTTTCGTCGTTTCTGCCTACGCTCCCACTGACTGCAGCCATGATGAAGTGAAAGATGACTTTTACAGAAAGCTCTCTGAGCTTCTTCAGAAAGCTAAGCGCTCAGACATAGTAGTCGTAGCGGGTAACTTTAATGCCCAGGTAGGCAGCTTAAATCAAACAGAAAGACATTTAGGTAAGTGTTTTAGTATTCCGGCTCAACGAACCGATAATGGTGATCGTCTGTTGCAACTATGCTCAGACAATCGTTTATTTTTAGCAAGCACTAATTTTAAACATAAGGAGAGACATCGTCTAACATGGCGACCACCTGCACCAAACCAACGATGGACTCAAATAGACCATATTGTCATCAGTCATCGTTGGAGAGGCTCAATAGAAGATTGTCGCTCGTATTGGAATACTTGTTTTGACTCTGATCACGCTTTAATACGAGCACGCATTTGTCTGCACCTCAATGGACGCTGGAAAAGTACACTAAGAAGACCCATTAGGATTGAAGTGGAGGACGAGAAAGCCAAATGCGAATTCCAGAAACAACTGAGTTCACATCTAGGCAGTTCTGTAAACAAGACTGACACAGATTATTATTATTATTAATGGCTTTATTCTATATTATAATCTGGTACAATATAGAATTCTCAGCACGAGTTTTTTCCCAAAAAATAAAACCGAAAAAAAACAACAACAAAAAACAGAAATAAAATATAGAAAAGGTTTAAAAAAATTTGAGTTTATACAAATTACCGAATATGAGACATGCTTAAGAAGACAGGTTATTTACTAGGTCAACTCTAACAGCCTGTTCGTCACAAAGTAAATTTGCTAGGTAAGGTATTACAGAACTTTTATAGATGCTGCTTGGAAAGACATACGAGCAGCTGTGGAAACAGCAGTAACATCTATTAGTCATTTAAACCATAGGGCTCCAAAAAACCAATGGATTTCTTCTAAGTCTATTTCACTGATGGATTCGCGTAAACTCATCCCATCAGGCTCTGAACATGACGAAGAGCGTAAACAAATTAGATCTAGGTTAACTAAAAGTCTAAGGAACGATCGTGAGCAGTGGTGGGCAACGAAAGCAAAAGAGATGGAAAAGGCAGCGGCTGTAGGGAACACCAGGCAACTATTCAGACTAATAAAAGAAACCGGAATTATGAGGTCAAGTGTAAGTAAGACAATCTCGGAAAAAGACGGAGCCCTTATATACTCTCAGCCCAAACGTTTAGAACGATGGGCGGAACACTTTAAGGAGCAGTTTAGCTGGCCTTCAGCTACTGCACAACTACCCACTATTCCTAGAAAACCTGAATGGAACATTGAAGTAGGCCCCCCGACCCTACTTGAAGTTCAAAAGGCTATAACTAATCTGAAACGAGGAAGAACAGCTGGTCCTGATGGATTGGCTCCAGAGGTCTTTAAATATGGTGGTCCAATTTTAGCGATTAGGTTGACTAATATTCTGGTTAAAATCTGGGAGACGGATGTAATCCCATCCGACTGGTCACAATCACTGATTGTCCCATTATGTAAAAAGGGGTTAAAATCATCCTGCGATAACCATAGAGGGATTAGTCTGACTAACATAGCATCTAAAATACTAGCCTCAATAATTATCGGGCGCCTAACTAAAACTCGTGAACTGCAAACAAGAGAAAATCAGGCTGGCTTCAGACATGGTCGTGGCTGTATCGACCACATATTCACCATTCGTCAAGTTTTAGAGCACAGACACGCTTATCGGCGTCCGACAATGATAGTTTTTCTTGACTTGAAAGCAGCATTTGACTCTGTAGACCGAGAGGTTCTGTGGCAGTGTCTGTCATTGAAAGGTGTACCTGAGAAGTACATAAACGTTGTGAAGGCTCTTTACTCGAACACTACCAGTCGAGTGAGAGCTTATGGCGAACTGTCATATGATTTTACAACCTCAAGTGGTGTCCGTCAAGGCTGTCCACTATCCCCGTTTTTGTTTAACTTCATTATAGACCTGTTGCTGGAAACAACACTCTCTTCGACTGAATTTACAGGAATTGATCTCCTACCAGGGGGACCACTAATCGACTTAGAATACGCAGATGACATAGTCCTGTTTGGTGAAGACGCTGACAAAATGCAGAGTCTTCTGTTGGAACTCAGTAATAATGCCAGGATGTTTGGGATGCGTTTCTCCCCATCCAAATGTAAATTGTTACTCCAGGACTGGCCTGCGTCAACACCCGAACTAAGGATAGGGAGTGAAGTAGTCGAACGCGTGGACAACTTCACTTATCTTGGAAGTCTGATCAGCCCTAATGGGTTGGTGTCAGACGAAATCTCAGCACGGATTCGAAAAGCTCGTTTAGCTTTTGCCAACTTACGTCACCTATGGCGAAGACGAGATATCCGTCTATCAATTAAAGGACGATTATACTGCGCATCCGTTCGCTCTGTTCTACTCTACGGTTGTGAAACATAGCCATTAAGAGTAGAAGATACTCGTAGGTTACTAGTATTTGACCACATATGCCTTAGAAATATTGCTCGTATCTGCTGGGATAACCGGGTAAGTAATAGTGAGGTTAGACGCAGGGTATTAGGGAACGATGGTAAATCAATTGATGAGGTGATGAATCTTCATCGACTGAGATGGTTGGGCCATGTGTTACGTATGCCTGAACACCGATTACCCTGACGCACTATGATGACTAGTGTAGGTGATTGTTGGAAGAGAGTTAGGGGCGGCCAAACCAAAACATGGCATCAGTGTTTGAAGTCACTAACTTCTAGTCTGAGCCATGTTGGCAGATACAGACTACCTGATTGAGGTCCGCGTAACCATCGTAATCAGTGGTTGGAGACTCTAGGTGACATGGCTCAGAATCGATCACAATGGCGTAGGTGTATCCACTCTTTATCTTCCCTTAAACCTTGAGACTAAAAATGCTTCATATCTCTCTTCCTTCCTGTACTATATCCTTATATACAACCTATAATTTATATACTACTACCACCAGTAAATTAATTACTTCTATGAATCCGGTGTTCATCTTGTTGTGCTAACGAGGTATGGCAACTTGGACCGATGCATAAATGTGCCTGGTCCTACGTTGTAGCTGACTGGCTCACTTCATATCTAAAAAATTGACATTTTAAGGTCAGGGTTGATTTCAGTTTGTCTCAGGCTATGAAATGTCCCGACGGCGATTCACGAAATCAGTTCGGGAACTCAAATTTAAGCCTTATGAAGAGCGCCTGCAATCACTAAACCATTACCCATTGGAGTACAGGCGTCTTGAAGGTGACCTTCGAATGGCCTACAGCACCTTAAATACCTCTGGACATTTCCTTAAACACAAATCTTAGGGGTAGCACCTAGAAATTGAAGACAAAACACAGAAGAACGGACTGTAGACAAACCTTCTACTCCTTCAGGGCGATCAAATGCCAAAATTCGCTACCGACTGAGCTAGTTCAAGCTACTTCGCAGAAGTTCTTTGAGAGAAGACTTGACATATCCTTAAGGACCAAGGACAGTATCTTACAATGATTTACCAACTTTTATTTCTTTTTCCAATTTTATCGATAATGTACCTAGGTATTTACCTGGAGGTATTGGTAATCCACTGATACTAGATACGGAGGAATGGTAAGCAAAAGCTTCTTTCATTCCGCACAAAACCCCTTAAATCAATTGAACTTCAGCTCATTATAAAGATATTGGATATTGAACACATACTGCCCTTGATGTTTAAGGAGCTATCAACAAATTAACACGTTAATTGGTGGCATGGAACGTCAACCAACGGAACCAATCCCAGTGAAGAGAGTTACTGTTAAGGACTTATCTCAAATACCATCTAACCATGGGTAATTATTATTTGATTTCATTATTCCATTAATTGCCCGATTTCACATCAAAAAATTAAGCCACCTTTTATTGTCGTTTAACGTTGAATATTAATGTAAAGGAGGTTCAAACATTGCAAATATATAAATGCTCATTGACTGTCTTTAAGCCTATCCTATTTTCGTGACCAAGAAATATAACCTGAGCTCACAGGAGACAACTTTAATCCCTAGACGCTTCGAAGGTTTAAGAATTGTTATTTTACTTAGCCTTCATTCAGAGGATTTCTTTCGGATGTAGATAGGTATAACTTACTATGTTGATTTTTCAGCGGTAGTAAATGATTCGGCAAAGAGTTAATGAAAGGTCTTTCTTACATGTTCAGTTGTATTGTATGCTTTACATATATTTCCTCACAAGCTTCCAACTTTAAACCCATCATTTGTTTGATTTTACCACCTCAAACTAGCCGTCCTAAAGTATGGCTACGGTAAATGTATTAATTCGAAGTAACCTATTTTGTGTTGTTTAGCAGATTGAGATTTTATTGTTTCCGGGGAAACATCCTAATATATTCAAGTTCATTCCTAATTCCCCCCCTCAACATTTCAATGAAAAACACCACACTTACATCTCAGACAGTGAAAATTTTCAGACGGGGCCATGTTTGTTGACAGTTTTTTTTATCTATCAAGTCTTAATATAAAGTAACAATCCCTGCGTACGTTCACTTAACTAACATTCTTATGTTCGTTTCTTGTAAGGCTTTCATCAAGCTCAAAGTTATGTTCTGCGTATGCGATAAAAAATTTGCCATTAACTCACTAAACAAGTCTGATTTCCATCTTATTATGCAGGCGTGAGAATCACCTTTTTTCTTAAAATATTCACCTCTTTCAGCAGTTGGACAAAATTTTCTTGTGGCAAATCAGTCAAAAAACGTAGTTGTGTGAGTAATAATCTACTTAAATGAATTGTAGTTCATGAAATTCGGTTATCAAACGATCGTGTTTTAACTGTCCTTAGTTTATCATACTATAAATAAACTATCATATGTATGCAATTAGTACTTATAATACTGAATAAAAACAATGTTAGTTCTATTTGTCCTACCTGTCTAGTTTTTTCTACTATCAATAATACTGTTACTGTTTATTCTCACAATGCTGATGTGATGTCGGAACTTAAATTAGCATACATATATTCCTGTACGTATGTCAAACATCTGCTTTCAAGTTTTGAGTTTCAAGATTATTTTTATACACTTTATTTTTTGAATTCTTAAACCAAATTGTCTATCACCAATCGTTTCTATTATCAGTGATATCACTCCCACTGTTCTAGTTTTCGTTTTGATAATTTAACGTTTCTGTTATAATGTGATCTGGTAACGTAAGTCGATGTAGGTTTGCTTTAAGTTTCTCAGGACGTATGTCTGAGGTCCAAATTGGGTTTCATTACAACGTGGTCGTACATGGGACCAATAAAGTACATAAGCTTTTGTGTTTATTTCTTAGATTGATCATGATCTGAGTCAAATAACTTTATTTGGTAAGATTATTGTTCAAATTTAGTCAATGAATTATTCAGTAGTCGAGACTTTATACTCATTTTAACATATTTGTCTTACTCCATATCCGTTTAACTATTTTTCATATATATATTTTTACATAGTACAACTCCCGGTGGAACTTTGTTCAGTACTACTCCGGGTGGCACTCGTATAATATATGAACGCGATTTTATTCTCAGCTGTCGCAACTCACCAATTGCTCAAACCCCTCCATCTGACATGATATACTTACCAGAATTAACTCCTTCCAGCTTGCATAATGATAAAACAATTCATCCGTGTAATGGTCAAAAGGTGAAAGATTCTCTAAATGTGTCTGAGTCAACATCAAATGATCATAGCAAACTTAGCAAAGGTAACATCTGTTGTCGATGTATAATTTTATTAATACTGGATTTTTCAAATTTGATTGTGTAGTACTAATAGCAACACTGCGGAGTGTTCTTAAGATTATCACCCAATAAACAGTTAATCCATGCCATCCATTAATTCTATTTAGGTTAAGATCCATTATAATGTAGAGGTGGATTCTTAGTTTCACGCACCTAACCCCTTTCCGCAGTTTGGGATACGCAGTGATGACAATGATTGCCGCATACTTAGGCTTTTCCTTACCCATGTCAATTGGTCTTCTACCTATAGTTTAATATTTTACTTTGTCTTCATCGATCTTGGAAATCCGTGTGTTTGAGCTGCCACAAATGAGGATGAATCAAGTGTATTAGGTAAATCAAATGATTTTGGAAGTGTGCGAATGATGTCTCTGTTTTAGCAGAATGTTCTATTAAAAATAACAAGTTTATAGTTTTGGACACAGGACAGAGAGAGTAGAGATGTTCGGAACATACGTACTATTTATTTTCAAGTGTTCCACGCACAATCCAAATCGCAACAACCCATAGAGTAATAACATTGAGAGAATATAGACCGAATAATTAAGGATGATTATGTCAGTAACTAAAGAGATATTGCAATCCAAACAAATAAACAAAGTCGAAAAATCATAGACCCAAGATTTTATGGGGAGATTAAATATGACTACATCATGAACCATTCATCCACAACCTAATAGTAACTTGCGAACCCCGACGCGAAAGTTTCCACTTCCCAACAAGGTTTGTAATAAAAGTGACTGGGTGTATGGAATAATGTCATTAGTCAGTTTCATCTTCCGTAGCATTTTGGTCACTTACGCAGAGTAACTAGCATTGCATTTCACGGCAGATCTTAAGTGACCATGTGAGATAGATATGTAAATCGCTTACTCAGTGGAAATTTTCAACCGATGTAATATTTTCACTTCATGATTATTGCCTAGTCTTGCTTTCACGTAGTATAACTAAACACTATAAATGTACTCATGTGTTCTGTCTTTGAAAAGCATGTTTTACGCTTATAATTATTCAGAATAAATTATTTTCCAGTATATACCCTTTGATCGATTGGCAGATAGTTCAACGTATTTTCTCTTTATGCATCATGAGTTTAGTAAACGAGATCTTGTTAGTCACTTCCTTGCCATACCTGATAAAACTCCCAAGTAGATTAAGTGGCATGCTCAATCAATTTGCTCCTTATACTAAGCTTTCGAAACACAATCAGAGAAAATCTACCGTAATTTAGAATAAACATTCTAAAAATGTACCAAAATGGTTGCAAAAACAAATACAGTCGAATGACCCAATAAGAGTAGAGGATAAACATCCATCATCCTCTGTTGCTAAACATATAATCGAAACAGGTCATAAGATTGATCTTAACTCAGCTTTTGTTGTGTTGTTTAAAAGTGTAAAAGGGCGTATACTGAGGTTTATTGAAGCCTTAGCCATACGAAAATTCAAACCCCCTTTGTGTATTCAAAATCAGTTTGTTCTCTCTTTAAACCTACCCTGGTAATAAATGCTTATTATCCAGAGTGATTAGGTGTCAAGTTGTTTTCACATTATTTTATCATTATTATCCTTGTCTATTTCTTAACCTTATTACCAGTCTAGTTGACCTTTTATTTTTATATATAAATGTTCTTAACAAGTATATGTGTGATCAGATTGTTCGAAATGTTTTGCGCTAATATATCACATAGTTCTGATAATCTTCGTCTTCTTATTACATTATCGAAATTCTAAAAATATTTCCCGTTGTGCATGTAGACAAAATTTCACTCTTTTCAGTTTGACTCAAACTGGTCTGCATTGAATTGTTATCAGCGTTTCCTACTGAATAATCTACTTCGACTATATAACATTAATAGTTATCCCATTCTTGGCTAAATCGAATACGTTTATATACATTTTAACACCCAAAGTATCTTTTCTAAAGGGATCGCATTTAGGCTCGTTTAACTCGTAGTTTGTATTTGTCGTAACTGATGGAGTTCGGATGTTTTGAGAGAGATACGGTTGTCATCAATGACAGCTAATAGTCGTCTCTTTATATCGCAAATTGATTGAGGGTGTGGAATTGTGTCATTGGACTCTGATATAACTTTTAGTGGTCAATCATTCGTTGCAAGATTTGAAGGTTTTGCGTTCGATTCCTGTCGGGATTATGGATACACACTACTGGGGAGTTCTAAACAAGGATGAAAGAGCTGTTTATTCGTCCCTGTTGTTCAATAGAGAACCCCAACTGGTATCAGTCTGTGACGAGCACAGCTTATAAGATTTGTTTATATAACTATTTATATTATAAATAGTTGAGGCACAACTTTATTATCTTCGTCTGTTTCTTTTCATAACTCTGTCCTGATTTACAGTGCAATTAACTTATTATCATGACTGTTTTTAATTATTTCAGGCGAAGATGCACCATTTGAAATGGATGTTTGAGGAAATAAATGACGTTTATAAACATTTGTAATTCAGATATTCTCTATTCTTCCGCTTATGATCCATTATTGTTATTATTTTTGTTTTTTTTCAACCAACCTGAAAAACAAGTAAATAAATACATATCTCTTTTGCACCTTATATTACGTGTTCTTCACATGAGTGTTTGACTTTAACTAAGCGATACCATTCGTAATTTTGTTCAGCGGACCTAAGTTTTGGACTATCCTTTAGAGCCTCCAAATGCCCTGGTATGGCCGAGAGTGCGGAGAGTCCGCTCTCCCTCTCGAAATACTCCCACATGGCCATGCGTAATATAACCTCTGCCAGGGAAGTCCTACTCACTGCCTTCTCGTGACAGGGGTGTTAGATACGAAGTTGAGAGGACGAAAAGCGAATGTACGGCGCTTTAATCGGGTTGGTGGACATTGAAAGTGCACCTAGAGGGGAGTTGGAAAACCCTGATTCCAAACTAATGGTGCACATGAGCTCCAGTATCCTGAGGGAACATATGGCGTACGAACCAATTATTGGTCACCAGCTACCATGAGACTGCATCTCCTCACGATGCTCCACTGCCTTGTGAATCAGACTCGGGGTGTGGCCCCCTAAGAAAACCACGTGCTTCAGTTTGGGCACCTTGGCAGTATCACAGCCCTCACAAATCTCATTTGATTAGTGTGGCGCATATATATCTGGTGCCCCTTTGTACCAATATTTATGTGTTTAAATAAAATAAAATAACTATCCTTTAGGAATCTAAATAACATACACAACTCGCTTATATTGTATGTGTTTTCTCAGGTAGTGTAACTTGTATCGATTTGTGTTTAGTTGATGTAGGAAATTTATGTGATGCTGTCTCGTTAAAAGGAAGGAATAGTATGGAATAAGATCAATCTTAAGATTTCAAAGCGGGTGTTTTGTTTTTGCCTAATACATGTACTCCCGGTTTTCCCTTGATTTGTTCTTATCTATCTTATTGGTAGTAATACCTATCGAATGTAACGACTTTAATAATTCAGTTAGTTATAAACGTAACGCGAAACCTGGTACATGCGCACATCGATTCAAGTTGCTATACCCAATTAGTAGAGTGAAATAAAATTGTCACGGGAAATCCCAGAGTTGTAGAGGTAGTAACTATTGGTTAACGAAAAAAGTGCTATAGCCACTGTGAACCAAGGAGATGCCGGTATTGTACTCCATGACAACCTTTAGATTGTATACTGTTAGACACTTCAATGTTTTCACAGATGATAGACTTGTCCTACCATGAATATGTCATATGTTAAGACCAATCTTTAGTTTGGCTAACTTTCGTAACCATAAATTGTAAACACTTATATTAAGTGACTCAGTGTCACATAAAATTCAGTTACCTTGATTTGACAGTGAAATGCGATCTTGATAAGACTCAAAACTGTCGGCTTGAAACACTTGTTGAGTCTATAGGGACTGAACCTGGGCCGTTATTGATAAATAATTGGTTAGTTGTTGACGACCAAATATCACTGAGGTAGTGTACATATACGCTTTAGTAGTCTGTGATCTCAACGGATAATTTTCCCTCCAGAACTAACTAGGGTTAGGAATACATAAGCACGAAGACAGTTAAAATGATGAGGACTGATGATCTGATCTTTTAAAGGTATGGTTACTAGTTGACATGTAAATCATCCAAAATAATAGGTCGAAATATAAAAGTAAACAAAGTGGTCTTTGGTGTTCATTATTCTAATTTGAAAGAACAAATCTTCCATTGTGTAAACCAAAAAGATTTCCAAATTGACTAACGTTATTGCTAAAGTCTATGGAGATATAATCATTCAATATCTGACTCAAAAAACTGAGTTTATGTGCTTCTGTAGTGAGTGAGAACGCAGGTGAGGACAACTGACCATGTGTCTCAATGCAAAATTACGAAACATCTTACTGAAATTTGAGAACCAAACAGTAAATACTTGTAAGCAAAGATGGATAGTGGCTAGCAGTGGAATCCAGGATGCACATTTCGTCCTATTTGGGACTCGTCAGCTGGATGTACCTGCATCTCAGAGCAAGTGGCTATCAGGACTCAATAGCTGAATGGATAACGTGATGGCGTTTGAAGCGAAAGGTGCTGGATTGGAGTCCCAGAGTGAACATCAACTCTGAGATGCAGGTACATCCAGTTGACGAGTCCCGAGTAGGACGAAACGCGCATCCTGGTTTCCACTGCTAGCCACTATTCATTTTTGCTTATCAGGCTTGTGAATTAAGGCTATATCGAGGCAATACGCACAGTATGCATATATGCCAATTAGAGACTGACTAGTCGCAGTCCTAAACATCAATGGGAAGATTCAAACAATACCAAATGATGTAAATACTTGATTTGCAAAGTATCAATCAAACTTGACTGTTCCTTTGCAAATGTCGATTGTTGTCTCAGACTTCGCCGTTTCTTCATCTCCATACCAATTGTTTTCTATTTCTGTTCTTCCCTTCTCAATCTTCTGCTTCCAGCTTTTCTACTCCTGACTCACGATATATGCTACTTATGTCGATATAAGTAGCACACACCACACTTCTACCTACTAGGTGTAAAATACTTACTCAGAATTGATTTTGGTGCGAGACCTGTTTTGAGCAAATAGAATAAAGTGTTCTCCGTTCGTGTAAGCTACCCTAATAATTGCATGTCCAACTACCCTGTTCTTGTCATCGATGAGATGTAAAATTAGTTAAAGTATGAAGATAATGAGCAGCAACCTTCTCTTTACTAATATGACCGTGGGATTAAAGTACCTCATTTTCTAATATGATTCTAAGTTCAGACTCTCTTTTGTCCTCTATCGCCTAGACTGACAATTTGTATCACTAGTTCTCGCGTGAAATGTATAACTTGAAACAGAATTTGGGGATCTATGTTTCACTACTGTCAAACAATAGTTAATGTCAGAAGGGGTTTTGTGGAGATTTAGCATTTTCATAGTTGAAAGCGTGAGTCAATTGAAGCTAGACCCCCATCGAAAACCTGGAAGCACTGAATGACCGTTTCGTCCTATTATGGGACTCCTCAGCAGTGCGCATCCACGATCCCGCTTTCGCGAGATTCGAACCCAGGACCTACCGTTCTCGCGCCAGATCACTTAACCGATAGACCACTGAGCCGGCATCCAACTGTGTTAATGTCTAACTTCAACTGACCCACAAAGTTGAGCAACCGTTCACCAATTGTCTTCAGTGAGTTGTTATCTCACAACAGACATGGTTCGAACTCCACTAGTCACTGCTTCTCACTAGAATTCCTGGATTTACCTCTCGAAATCAGTCACTAGTGAGCATATGATTATACATCAGAAGGGGTTTTTATGGAGATTTAGTATTTTCATAGTTGAAAGCGTGAGTCAATTGAAGCTAGTTAATTGCAAAGAAATGTATTGTACAATACAGATATCAAACCACTCAATGTAAACGTGTATATTCTAAACGAAAAAAAAGTTAAGTATAGAATAACCTACTCAATCCTTAGACTTTCAAATGTTATAGGATAACCACCTTTTTCACCTTATCAATTTTTCGATTTCGACATAGTTACTATGCTAATTGTATACAACTGATTACAAATCACGAAATAGAAACAAATCTATACTGACCTCCTTTGATTGTTGTTATCATTTAAGGGTTCATACATTTATTATAGATGAAAGCGTGAGTCAATTGAAGCTAGACCACCATGGAAAACCTGGAAACACTGGACGGCCATTTCGTCCTAATATGGGACTCCTCAGCAGTGCGCATCCACGAACCTGCTCTCGCGAGATTCGAACCCAGGACCTACCAGTTTCTTAAAACCAAACATTGGTCCAGTGATTAATCATCAATTGAGTAAGATTCAGTAATGTTAAAATATTCACTTCGAATATAGACAATCAAAATCAATTCAGATATCTTAGTGGACTTTGGTAATAAAAAACTGTTGTTAACAAAGATGGATAGTGGCTAACAGTGGAATCCAGTTTGACACGAGTTTCGTCCTATTTAGGGCTCGTCAGATGGATGTACCTGTATCTCAGACTTATTTATGTTCACTCTAGAACTCGAACCCATTACCTTTCGCTTCAAACGCCATCGCGTTCCAATCCTAAACATCAATGGGGAGATTCAAACAAACAATACTCGATAGGCCAAAATATAGAAGGCCAGATAAGATATATTTATTGGCGATCTCGTGGTATCGAAAAAATACCGAGATGTGCTAAAGAGCACAAGCAAAATGGCAGAATGTAAGAGAGTTCGCACAAACAAGATTGACAACAGAACGAAAAGTGTTTTTGGTACAGTTAAACAAACAAGTACAGTAAAACAACCACTGATACAATTAGTTATAATAATAATAATAATAATTGTTTCCATCATATCAATCTCGTTCTCGTCATGAAAAGTAGGTCACTACAACATCAGATGATGAGTCTCAAACAAGATGAAATGCACATCCTATATTCCAGCACTAGACACTATCGAACTTATTTGAAAATCAATCATGGCTTGCAGGTGGTATTTGTCATGGACTAATAATACGGTACTACTTACATTTTGAATACAATAGACGTCTGAGAATTAATTAGACGATTTAGACTTCTCAGATGACCTAGCTCTCCTATCCGATACACACGGACAAATATAGACGAAGACAACTAATGTAGCAGTAGCCTCTCCATCAGTAGGCCTCAACATACACAAGGGAGAAAGCAAGATTCTCAAATACAACACGGAGAACACCAACCCAATCACACTTGGTCTCGAAACTCTAGGAGATGTAGAAACATTCACGCACCTGGGAAGCATTATAGATGAACAAGGAGGATCTGATGCAAATGTAAAGGCGAGGATTGACAGAGCAAGAACTTCATTCCTACAACTGAAGAACATATGGAACTCAAAACAACTGTCTGCCAACATCAAAGTCACAATCTTCAATACGAACATCAAGATAGTTAGTTCTACTGTATTGAGCTGAAACTTGGAGAACTAATACAACCATCGTCAAGAAGGTACAAGTATGCATAAACAGTTGTCTTCCCAAAATGCTTAACATTCGCTGGCCGGATACCGTCAGCAACAGCCTTCTGTGGGAGAGAACAGATCAGCTTCCT